CCTAAGCTTCTTTTGGGTCATACCAACCCTTACAAGTTTGCCATTTTGCAACAAAAAAAATAAAAAAAAATTATTCAACGATCGCAGGCCGGCACGCGAGGAAAATTGAGCCCCACTTTTTTAGTTAGGGCGCTGTGCGCCCAAAAGGCCTTTGGCTAGCGAAAATTGGGCTTCTGCGAGCCCGCTGCACATGCTCTTAATGACTTTATAAAACCCATATGTAACTTTCAACTGGTTGTATGATCATTAAAGACTTTATAAAACTCAAATCTAACTTTCAACTGGTTGTATGTTGGTTTTATATCAAAATTCATTATACAGTAATAGAACCCACATCGAACAACAAAACATACAACCAAAACAACAAATAAGCCCCTGACAACAACACCAACCTTGATTAACATCATTAGCAGGTGGACTCCACCTTTGAATAATTTAATCAGGCTAAACTTTAGTGCATGTTTCCCTAAGGAATTTTTGAGAGAAGCATCGTTAGAGATCAAATAAAAGGATTACTTTTGCCTTTTTTTAATCTAACAAACAGGTGTGAGAACATCAATTCAAAGATTCTGGCTCCCCGAGCTTGTCTTGTAGATACTAAATGCCAGGCTTGGATTAAATAATTATCTAAAAAAATTTGTCCAATATAATTTGGAGGGCTATTAGAACCTCAAAATTCAGCGGAGAAACGATAATCTTCAAGAGAGATCATTCTCATATAGACAAAATGAAGAGAGTAATTATTTGGTCCCCTAACTCATCAACTCAAACATAAATTCCCAAGCTAAAGGTGGCACTACTTGCTAATATGTAAACATAACTTGTCGTTAGATATGGTACATTCTGGCATAGAAATCTCCTGGGTAACTAAAATTACATGAGAGGTCTTCATGCACCACTCAATATTGCAAAATGCAGCATTAAGGTACTTCTTTTCTGGATTATTAGCTCAAATGGACTTCAACAACCTTGGGGAGGGTTTGAGCCTTCCCCTTGGCTTTTCCAAGAGTGTTTGGATGGTTCCTCCACCCGGGATTGTAATGTGTGCGATACGGATTATTCCCTTGGTTGACAAATGTGGCATTCACTTGTTTATGGTTCTCATTTTGTACATGTCCATTGGGACAAAGGGTGTTGGACCTCTATCTCAGCATGCCTCTCTAATTATTTACAAAATAAAACATAGAAACAAACTCCTGTATGCAAGTACTTTACTTGCATTACAACTCTATCACAACTAGCTATAAATTCAAAATAAACTAATCCTATAGATAAACCAACTAACTACAAGTTTAAAATAAATTAATCCTAAAGATAAACATAAATATTTAACTTACATCAACTAAAAGATAAATACTAAAATTATAATCCCTATCTATTAAATAATTCAAATGTTTCAATCTCCTTTGCCTTTGAATGTAGCTTCTGTAACCTTTTCCATGTGTAAATTTATATCCAAATTGGTTGCCATGTTATTAATACAAAATTTACCAAAAAGGGTGTCAACAGATTTGGAGGGATAGGGAGAGAAAAGAAAAATAGTGTGAGAGTGTGTTTATGTGGGTTAAGTAGAGAGAAAATAGAGGATAGGGAGAGATAGGGAGTGATAGCTATCTCTCCCTATCCCTTATATGATTTCTCTCCCAATTTAGTCATTATCCTTTCTTTTCTTTTCTCTCCTATATCTTATCCAAACAAGAATAACTATCTTTTCTTTTCTTTTCTCCCATATCTATCCAAACACGAATAGAAATTATTACTATCCTTTCTTTTCTTTTATTTTCTCTCCTAACTAATACTATCATTTCTTTTCTTTTCTCCCTTATTTATCCAAACACACCCTTAAACATGACTACATAGGCACATGTCAAATCTCTCCTATTTATACAAGTTTTTATTTATTTATTTATTTAAATGATACAATTTTTAATTTATTTATTTAAAGGCAAGAATGTTAAGAGTTAATTGTTAAAAGAGGGAGGGTGCAAGGTTCCAACACATTCAACAACCCAATTATTCAAACAATATGACACTTGCTTCGTAAAATTTTACTTAAATTCCCGACTAGACTTTGTAAAATGGCCCAAAACACTTCCTCAAAAAAAAAAAAGGTGTTAGTTTTTCTTCTTCACCATTAAGAGTTTTATCAGATGAACTCTAGAATTTGGCTAACTAATTACCGTCTATGGCTTAGTTTGGTTTTAAGGGTTCGGATTATAGGAAAAGGAAAATTTTGTGAGAGTAATTTTTTATAATCACCTTTCTCACAAATTTTTTCTATAAAAAAACACACGAAAATTTTACTTTTTTGAAGGAAAAAAAAAAATAAAATTTCAATTGTACCCCTCTTTTATGGTACGTTTCACACTCTACAAAACCACAAAATGATAATTTTTCATAATTTTCTTCAAAAAAATTCATGCTAGTCGAAGTCTCGAAGACATGGAAAATTAATTTCTGTTTCTTTCCTCTCACTTTCCTTTGTCAATTTCTATTTAACTAAATAGACCCTAAAGCACTTAAAAATAGTGCAGCAGAAAACAAATTGTAACACAAAGCTTATATATTTGTGTGTGTATTATCTAACAACATGAAAACCAAATTTTCAAAAAAAGAAAAAAATAAACATGAAAACCACAAACATTTACAAGTTCATATCAACTCCAGTTGAAACTTACAAAACTTGAGTATTAGATTGAGACTTACAAAACTTGAGTATGAGATTGAGATTGAGATTGAAAACATATAATATATATTTTTACAATTTATAAGTTCATCCACTGAAAATGTCATATACACGTGAAGTAGTCGGTTGAATTACGAACGCATATCATAAAAATTTACAAATTCATATAAGATTCCATTAAAACTTGTGTATGAGATTGAGGTTGAAAAGATTATAATATATATTAACAATTTACAAATTTATCCACCGTAAAGGTCATGCTTTTTGTTGAATTACGACACTTATCTCACAAACACTTCCGCAAAATGTAATAATAAGTCAAAGTTAATGAGGCTCATTTCATTTATTTAATAAACTTTAAAATATTATTTTAGCATAAAACCACTTGTTACTTTCTCTTGTTGCAAATTAATCAAATCTGATGACAGTAGGATGAGGTTTGGTAAAACATCAACCAGTAGAAAGAGACAGCATTGAAACCTCATTACCCTCTTGACAGTTGACACTCATCTGTTTTGATGACCCACTTAGATGATCTATTTTCAAACGGGTCTAGACTCTAGACTTAGTGGGATCCAAATTGAGATTTGAATAGTTGACTAGCCAATGAAAAGATTAACGTTGATCAAAAAGACCAATCAAAGTTCACCACTATAATATCTTAGGCTCTATTCGGATAAGAATAATATTAGTTACAAGGGAAAAAGAAAAAAATTAGTAATAATCTCTATTTATGTTTAAATGGATAGAAAAGAAAAGAAAAGAAATAATCGTATTCTTAAAAGGATATGACAAAGGGAAGAAAAAAAGAGAAAGAACTTGCTTTTAATCGTTGATGACATTTTCAGGATTATGAAAATATTACTACACTATCATTTCTCTCCATAAATTTTTTTTTTTTTTCTTAGTTAGTACTCAAATACAAATGCCCGAGACTCGAACCTCTAACCTCTTTTTGATAAGTAAGGGCTTAATACTGTTAGGCGACTGGCCTGTTGGATTCTCAACCTATCTTTTCATTTTTTGAGATATAGAAAATGAGAGATCCCTCCCTATCTCTCTGTATCATTTCTTTTCTTTCATTTTTAACCAATCAAGCACACTCCTCACACCATCCTTTCTTTTCTTTTGTCTCTAATTTCTAACCAACCAAACACACTCCTCCCACTATTCTATTTGTCTATCCCTACCCCATATTCAAATGTACCCTTACAGTTAATAATATTTACTCGTATAATTTTTTTAGAAAAATAATAAAAATCCTGATCTTGATTATATTTATTGATTACTATGCAAAAGTCTTTGATAAACACTAGTCACCAACAATATGGAGTACTGATTGGTATAGTGGTGAAGACAAAATGTTCTTCTTCTTAGCTGGAGTGAGGGAGAAAATGGAATTCTTTATTATTAATGAAATAAGGAAAAAGAGCGTGCATAAGGTGCCGCCAATACAAGAATGTTAATCCAAAGCAGCGAGTAAGAGGGGAAGCTTAAGATAGACCTATAGCTGGGCATCTAGCCCGATTGTATAACTTCTCTCCATTCTCAAAAATGATGAGAGACGTTTGAAACCTATTGTGGAAGCAAAAATTGTGTATTAATATTAGGGCAAAATACATAAAACCTCCCTTAAACTTGTAGCATTTTTTTAGTAAACTCCTCTTATCTATTTTTTAATCAAAGAAGCCCGCTCGACTTGTAACATTTTCTAATTAATTTCCTTGTCTAATTTTTTTACCAAATAACCCCCCTTAACAATCTGGAGGGGGTAAAAGAGTTGATATTTGGACCGAAATTTCCTTTTATTTAAATCTTAATTCTTCCGAATCTCAAAAAAATAAGGATTTCAAAAATATAAGATTTGTATAATAAAACTTCATAACCCGAGAAAAATAGGTAAATAAAATACTTGAGATATTTGCAAGAAAATTTTCAGAATTATTCATTTACATATGGAACCGAATAAATAAAATATTTAGCCCCATCAGAGATCGATTTAATGAGATTTCATATTTTGTGTTCAAAACATTTTTATTCTTTTATAGACTCACTATTTAAAAAAAATTTAAAATAAATATTCAGTTTTTATTAGGGCTAATTTTTTTATATGTTATGTTCCATATAAAAATAAATAATTTTGAAAATTTTCATACAAATAATCCGAATATTTTATAAAAAATGAAATAAAATAAGATTGTTGCAGTAATTTTTAAATTGTTTATTTTTCTCTTATTATAAAATTTTGTTAAATAAATTTTATATTTTTGTAATCCTTGTTTTATAAGAGGAAGAGATATTTCTGTGACCAGGAAAACAAAAGAAAAAAAAATGTTATATCCACCGGCTTGTGGGACTCATTAGTTGTGCAACAGTGTGGGTGCCCTTACCTTTTATTTGGATTTTGGATTTCAAAGATATTGTCCCTATATTTGTACACACATAATCATTAAATACCACACCCGAGTTGAAGATGATAATCATGGACACCTGGTTCATCATCGTCGTCTCGCTATGCATCTCAGCACTGATCAAATCTTTCTTCAATCTCCTCTTCTCTTCTTCTTCTTCTTCCAACAACAAAAAGAAGCTTCCGCCGGGACCCTCTATTTTTCCGATCATCGGAAACTTTCTTAGAAGGGTTCGTGGCGCCGAAGAATGCCACTATCAATGTCATGGTGGCCGAGATGGGGTGGGACTCTAAAGTATGGGATGACCCCATGGAGTTCAAACCAGAGAGATTCTTGACTTCTACTACTGTTAATGGGAATGGCGGTGGTGCTGATAAAGAGGCGGTGGTCGGAGGAGAAGCTGGTGATTTTGACATAACTGGGAGCAGAGAAATCAAGATGATGCCATTTGGAGCGGGAAGGAGGATTTGCCCCGCGTTGGGTTTGGCTTTGCTTCATTTGGAGTATTTTGTTGCTAATTTGATTTGGTATTTCAAATGGACTGTTGGTGGTGATGGTAATGTTGATCTATCAGAGAAGCAAGAGTTCACTTTTTTGATGAAGAATCCGTTACGGGTCCAACCCTCCCCAAGGACGGAACAATATTAATAGGGGTTAGTAAATAGTTCCTCAATTCAGTTCTAACCAATTCGATTTGTGTGATTAGGTTCGATTTGATGATCATATCAATTTTTAGATTTTATAGCTAAGTGATAATTTAAAAAAATAACAAATTTACTATTCGTGATTCGGTTAATAGATTGGGATTTTTATTTTGTTCTATTTGGATATTTTATACTACTATTTGGTACTGTAATATTATTAAAAATATTATAATATTATTAAAAGTATATTGTAATATTATTAAAAACAATGTTTATATTTGTTATTGTAATATTATTAAAAAAATATTAATGTCTGAATCATAATTTAATGATGGATGACAAAGGATTTGGATTTGGACTATTGATCTCAACCTTCTTGTTGTAATAAACGCCGCCGTATGTTAATTGATCTCAACCTTTCTCTCGGCTTCACTCACTAGCTTTTCCATCCCTTCATTCAAAAGAAATATTATTTTAAAAATAATAATAATGCATATCAATGTCATGCCTAGGATTGTAATATTGTTTATATCCATTTTAAGATATATACTTTGATCTAGCAATCACATCCATACGGCTCTCATCCATATATGGCTTATCTCTTAAGAGTGGTTTTGTGCATGCTTCTTTTAAACCAAGCCACAATTACCTTGATAGTAGTTTAAGCATGCTAGTGTAGAGAATCTGCAACTCACTGTTCTTGGTCATGAAAATTTTAATCTTATTTTAATTATATTATTTTGGTGGTGTTTAGAGACACCTTCTCCAGCTCGGTAGAATCATTAAAGATACAGAGGGTGCCGGTGAGGTTTAAGTCATCTCGTTAGTGTATTAGCTTAAAATGGTGTTGTACTTTTTTTGGCACATCAAGCTTTACATTTTGCTAATATATTCTACTTCTACATCAACGCAGCTTTATTACAAGCCGTGTCAGTCCTTGCTACTGCTAACCATGAAATCACAATTTGAAGTTTGATCTTGCTAGAGAGAATATGACCTCATCAACCGGCAAGAACCAGATCCTCTCCCGTACTAATTTTTGTGTTGTATTTGTTGCGCAAATGAAATATTTTTTTCTTCCGGAATGCAGCATCATTACTTCACGATTGCAACATTATTACTTCAAAGTACAGGTGTAAATTGTAACATTGGCATATTTTATTCTTCACTCTCCAAAATTCTCTTTTATGTGCCTTGCTCTTCAATTCAGCTTCTTTGAACTTTTATCCTTCTTTATTGCTCCCTTAAACACGACTACATAAGCACATGCTTTGTTCTTCATTCACATCTGGTCAAATCTCTCCTATTAATACAAATTTTTATTTATTTATTTATTTAAAGGCAAGAATATTAGGGATTAGTTGTTAAAAGAGGGAGGTGCAATGTTTGAACACATTCTCCCAAATACGGAGAACAACTTAACGACATGATACTTGCTTTGTATTAGTTAACCATCAATTTTTTTCTCTCACCATCAATTCTCCCAGAACTTAAGGACTATATCATTTGAGAAGAGACTCGAGAGGATCAAAGAAGCTCAGCTTTCTCACGTAACATCTTAGAAGTTTATATAGACATTGTAAAAAATCAAATCACATCTTATATGGCAAAAAATCTAATCACTATTCTAATAGGTAAAAATGAATTTGTACCTCTAGTTCAGATGCTTTGATCTCTTCTTTCAAAATAGTTCGTGTATTCGGTTTTTCCTCTTCCTCTATCCCTATTCCATAGGTACAGTGTTTGAATCAATAGAAAACCTTTTCTTCTGTATGAATCGATATTCTTTATTACATTTCAATTCTTTCCTGCTACCTCCCAAGGAAAATCTCGAATTGGATCTCAAATTGACGACTTAGTGTAAACTTATCCACGCGGTTTTTTCCAACACATATTTAGAAGGTGACTCGTCTTTTATACACCCTCCTCGAGAAGATGGCTTGGCTTAACTTGTAATTAATCCTACTACATCCGCTAGATTTCAAAATGAATTACCTATGTAACAAAGAATTGTTGTGCATCAAATTTTTGAATAAAACATGGGTTTGAACCTGGATGTTGGGTCTACGGTGCTCACACAAAATTTTACTTAAATTCCCGACAAGATTTTGTAAAATGGCCCATAACACTCTCTCAAAAATAAATAAATAAATAAAAAGTGTTGGTCTTCTTAACCATTAAGAGTTTTATTAGATGAACTCTAGAATTTGGTTAACTCACTACCAGAAAAAGAATTTTTTACCACGGTGGAAAACACTTTCTACCATGGTTTTGAACCGTGGTAGAAACAGCCGTGGTAGTAAGTCATGACTTTCGACCACGGTTTCTCTTTCTACCACGGTGCGAAACTGTGGTAGAAAGTCCTTTTTCAACCGTGAAGTCGTTCTTTCAACCACAGTTTTACACCGTGGTAGAAAGAAGACTTTCTACCACGGTGCAAAACCGTGGTTGAAAAAGGACTTTCTACCACAGTTCAGAACCGTGGTAGAAAAAGGACTTTCTACCACAGTTCAGAACTGTGGTAGAAAGTGGTATATAATTTAAACAAAAAAAAATAGTACAGCCCCCATGAGGCCTTTTTTTTTGTTTTTTTTTTTTCCCTACTACTACTAGCCTTGTAAGGACTTCAGAAGCAAGCACTAAATAAATAAAAAATAGCATCATAACCAAAATAACTTACAACTAACCGAAATCATCACATATATATATATATAACAAATTCCAAATAATTGTTTTATACAAAAATTAACCGTATACAAATTTCTTGCTTCTTATACCATATACCAAAATAAAACAAAAATTCTTATATGTTCTTGCTCTGTTTTAGTCTCTCTCTTCCATTACATATGCAACTTCTTCATGAGCCATACAAAAAATATAACGGCAACAAAAAAAGTAACGGCAACCGCAATCCTAGCTTTGACCTACAAATATGTAATAGTTGAAGTCAGAGAATGTAAAGCAAGTTGTAAAGTTGTCAAAATTAAACCAAGCAAAGCAAGCAATATAAGAGACTCTTCGTATTAACTCAATATCTTGGGTCATTGACATCCCGTCACCAAAAGAAATCATTTGAGTAGTAATGCATGACTACAATAGTCCTCCTTCAAATCTTCAATGTAATATATATCATAATCAAATAAAGAGGAACTAAAGAAACATTGAGACTAATTAGAATTCTAGTTACATGCACTTAGCTTCGTAGTTATATAGGCTAGCTGAAATATCATCAGCTTCTACTATATAAAAGTACTTCAAGTTTTCAAATAATATCCCACAATAACAAGATTTGTTATAATTCAAATTAATTTACCTTTACCCCCATTCCCCACCCTACCCCACCCCCACCACACACACACACACACAACAGAACATTCATGATAGATAGAGACAATAAAAATAACAACACAATAGAAACAAAAAGATAGAAATCATAGAAAAAAGTTATCATTTCCATGCATATATATATGTGTGTGTGTGTGTATAGTTGATAAAAATGGTCTCTAATTAAATACTAATAAATTTTAATCATAGGTACAATCAGGCCATTGTCAATAATTAAATATATGTTTCATGTCAGGAGAAGAAAATGTTTGATTATTTATAACTTCTTTTCATTATAGGGTTACTCTTCATCAAAATTAGAACACTTTAAATGGCCAACAAAGAATCATAATGATTGATAGTGCGAATAGATGCTTTATTTTTCAAAGTGGTAGTTTCACACCCCACTAGAATTGCTTAAAGGGAAACAAAGTTCCCTAGCTAGCATATATCCTATGTACCATCAGTTATTTCTTTTAAGTCCAAATGCACATAAAATGAGCACTTTTTTTTTTCTAAAAGTATAGAAGAACAATTGATGTTTCACCTTAATTTAACCAAATAAAGTTTAGAAAAATGAAAGGGATTCATCAGCATTAGCCAATCAAAAAAGTGTTGTCGGCTAGAATGACTGAGAAAATTTTCCTTAAAACTCTATTCCTAGGAAAAATATTTCACTGCTCTTGAACTATATATGAATGGTATTGTAGCCTATGTAGTTTGGAAGCTGCCTTATATATATTCACAGGCAATCCCTCATCAACGCCGTTCTTCGGACTAAGAGAAGATGATTAAAACCAGATGAAGCAGCAGCAACAACCTTCCATACCCACTTCTTCAATAGCTCTAACCACAGCACCTCAGAAGAAAAGGACAAATCTTAGATAGGTTTAATAATTTGAAGTACCAATACATTCGTAAGTTGTGGTTAGTGTTTGCGCAACTTAAGGTCTGAGCTTGAGAATTTTAAGTCTTGGAAATTACTCTTCAAAGTCAGTTAAGTTGAACATTCTTCCGAAAATTTAAATAGGTCTAGTATAAAGTCTTATTTCAAAGGAAAATAGAACTAAAATAAGAAGTATGTTCATACTAAATAATTTTTTCCTTCTATAATACAATCTTGAAACTATGTAGGCACATTGTTTGCATTAAAAATGGCATCCTGATTTTGTTTATACAATTTCGAGCATGTATTGTTGCGAAGATATGATAGTTGACAATAAATGGGCATCCTTCCATACCCACTTCTTCAACAGCTCCAACCACAGCACCTCAGAAGAAAAGGACAAATCTTAGATAGGTTTAATAATTTGAAGTACCAATACATTCGTAGATTGTGGTTAGTGTTTGCGCAACTTAAGGTCTGAGCTTGAGAATTTTAAGTCTTGGAAATTACTCTTCAAAGTCAGTTAAGTTGAACATTCTTCCGAAAATTTAAATAGGTCTAGTATAAAGTCTTATTTCAGTGAAAAATAGAACTAAAATAAGAAGTATGTTCATACTAAATAATTTTTTCCTCCTATAATACAATCTTGAAACTATCTAGGCACATCGTTTGCATTAAAAATGGCATCCTGATTTTGTTTATACAATTTCGAGCATGTATTATTGCAAAGATATGATAGTTGACAATAAATGGGCATCCTAGTTAGTAAAGTTATGAAAAAAATAGCTATATTATTTTTGCATGATTAGTAGCCAATTCCATGGAGTTTACCTGGTTGTGTTTCTATCATCATCCTTTAAGGTACACAAATTAGGTACTTTAGGATTGAATTTTTATATTTATGAGTTTTATCTATTTTTGTTGGCACTTTTATCTACTTTTATATTTAAATAGCTTCAATTGTTGATCTTTGTGGCATAAGTCCAAATTGATTGTTGACACTATAATTTCACACCTTAATTTTTTCGGTTGCCAAAAGAAGGGGTGAATGTTAGGTGTTGCAAGGTCATACAAGCATTGAAAATTTAGGGGCAAACCTGTCTCTACTTTCAGATGCAACTAATTGGTTATATCAAACATGTCTTTTTTTTTTTTTTTTTTTTCTTTTTTTTCCCCCCTTGGATGCAACTGTATGTTATAGAGAGAGAGAGATAGCTAAAACGAGAGATGAAGTAGTGATTTTGAGGAAGGGGATTGCATAGTATTTATAGGAGAGAATTAAGAGTAGCCAGTTTTCAGATTGGTTTCCATAATACCAAAACAGTTGACAATACTTGGACATATCACAAAGAGGTAGGGACATGAGAGACGCCCTCCATACTAGTATTACTACAAACTTCTCAACTCTTCTGTAATCCCAGGTTGTCCTTTATCTCTTTATATATATATGTGTGTGTAAATGTGTATTATATATACACAAATATTATAAAATAGTGGGATATCAGGTCTGACTTTTTGTAAACACCTCATTCTAAACTGATCTCTTTCCAATCTTTTGTCATCATAATTTGTGTTATAAGTTGAATACAGTAATTCTTTTTATATATTTATTTTTAATTAATTTTCGGCTAATACATTGCATTTAATCATCTTAAAAGTACAAGATTATCTACTTATCACAATATTTCGACTTCTTTCTCCTACATAACAGATCCAGATGCGAAGGTAATTATACTATTTCCCAAGACCCTAATGGCAACAAACAAGTTCATTTGTGAGGTATGCAACAAAGGGTTCCAAAGGGAGCAAAACCTCCAGCTCCACAGAAGAGGACACAACCTACCTTGGAAGCTAAAGCAGAAAACTACAAAAGAAGTGAAGATGAAGGTGTATCTGTGAGAAGTGGACACAATCAAGAAGCACTACTCAAGAAAGCATGGTGAGAAGAAGTACAAGTGTGAGAAGTGATCAAAGAGATATGCAGTTCAATCTAACTAGAAAGCCATTCTAAAACATGTGGTATTAGAGAATACAGATGTGACTATAGCACTCTTTTTTCAAGGTAATTAATCCACCCCATTTTTTCTTACACCAATCATATGCATATAATATGAATAACAACTAATACATAAAAAAACAAAAAAAAAAAAAAAATTTAAGTTGCCAACTTGCATTAACTCCTTAAATAACATATCAACAACTTCTCCTCCACAACAATCAATCAAAACCTCCACATACGATGATACCATACTCCCATGCTTTTAACATTTTAAAACAAGAAATAAAAATGGCCTCCACACGGGCCGATGTCCCAATAAGATAATAAAGTTCAAGATACACCGAAAAATTAGTCACTTAAAGGCATGTGACCCCCCTGAGTATGAGTATAAAAAGCATTAAAAATGTGCAATCAGAAAAGAATTGTGATGAGCGCTGAAAAGTGCGCATTTAAACCCTTTAAACATAGGTATTTTAGGACCTTTATCTATCTTACTTTTCATTTTTAGACTAATTTCGTATTATTGCCCTTTTTAGGTGTTTATCCCTAAAATAAGCTAATTCAGCCAAATAAGAGCTTAAAAGAAGCTAACTCAAGCTGGATGGAAGAAAGGAGTAAAGTGAAAGCAGAATGAAGCAAAAAGTGTGGAAATCAGCATGTTCGATCGATCTCAAGAATACTTCGATTGATCGAAAGTTCATCGATCTAGACTTTCTAAGATGGATCCAAGCCCTGTTGTCCTTATCCAAAGATCCCATAAAGTTCGATCGATCCAATAATTCTCAGATCGATCGAAAAGATTCCATCTTATCATGTTGTACCACCCTACCTACCACTTTTGTCTCTTTCCCTAAATTTTCTCAGATCTGTCTTTATCCAAAAAGGGGCCGCCATGGGAGGATTGATCCAGCCAAAGTTTGATAGATCTCAGCCATGTTCGATTGATCTCAACACAGTTCGATCGATTGAACTTCCTCAAGTCCGAAAAAAATATATTTCCAGCTCATTAAAAGTTGTCTTATTGTGCAATCATTGGAGGAGCCCTTGTGTACAAGCCTAGACCATTGGGTGTGACATTTGAGCTATCTATATAAGGATTATGAGTCACTTTTACATATAGTCTTTGATATACTTTTTAGAGTGGAGAGATACAATTCTTAGAGAGGAAGAAAAGAGAAGAGGAGGCTAGAGACACATTCTTGAGAGGTTTTTCATCTCCCTCAAGAAGGAGAGCACTTCTACCATGGAGATAGCCCTTGAGGGTTGGAGGACACCATTCATGAGTGGCTAGACATTCTCTTGAGGCTAGAGTTAGCCCTAAACATGCTTTTTTTTTTTTACCTTGATTTATGTATTTTTGAGGGGATTTGTGTTGTAATATATATTTTGACATATTTATTTACATAGATCTTGTTTATTCAATAATTTGTGTGGTTTAATTCTTCCAATTGATCATTTCATTCTATCCATATGTCTATATATGCTAGAATAGATGTTCAGGTGTTTATCTCTATCTTTTGTGTTGTTGATGTATGTTTATGTGTGTTGATGGTATAGATCTAAAGTTTGTCAAGATATAGTGCTTAATAGAATGCTCTTGTGATTTATTTGATGGTTCATACTCATTTCTTAATAGATTGTGCCTCTTCCTTAGTTTAATTAGTTTAATTTTCATGTCATTAGCTTAGATGTAGTGTAGTCACCTTAGTTGTTAAATGGGAGAACAATCCATGCTTGTTGTTTGATGTTCCATACTTATGAATGCAAGTAGTATATTTCTCTAATTATGTGATGTGTTTGGATTGTGAGCTTAAAGAAGGATTAATGACTTAGTTTGATATATTGTGCTATTCATTGTGTTGTTTAGACAATATATACTTAATTGGTCATCCATACTTGTTAAAACAACCACACACACTCACTATTGTTGCAACATATATTTTCCCTCTCAATAATTGTGAATTGAGTGTATAGAAAAGTGATGCTTAGTGGTGATCTCTAAGTCCCAAGACATCTCTCTCTCTTGTTTTCTCTATCCTTTAATTACTTGTTTTATATTGAACTTGCTTAATCTTAATTGTAATTGAATCAACCAAACAACCTACCTTTGATCACTCGACCTACTAACCCTAAGCATTGTTTCCATTACTAGTAGCCCTCCAATCCCTTGGGACGATCCCTACTCACCCTTGCTACGTTAGTAGTAATGGTTTTTATAAATTTAAACTTGACCTAAAAGGCTTTTCTTGAACCTACATTCACTACATTAGTTTGGCGTATAGGAACAGCCGAGACACCGTCAAATTTTATCGAACATAAAAACCATATAACTTACAAATTTTGACATACTCTATAGGCCATGCAATTGACGCTTCCGTCGTTGTCTTTTCGCAACCCCTTTGGAAGACTACATTTCAAGTACACGCAAATCAATTAAAGAAAATATAACACCAAAATACACCCTAAGTGGAGATAGTTAAATGAAAAAACTCAAAAATAAGGGACATTATAAACAAATACACACAAAATCAAAATCACAAAACATCATTAAAACATCTTTGTATGATCATGTGAGAAGTCCACAGAGAATCCATGGAATGAGAAGCCCTTTCAACACCACTGGTTTGGATTGAATTGTAATTGTGAAAGCTTTGAGCTGAAAGGGTTTTAACACCACTGGGGTGGATCATATTTTAATGAATAATTATGCTTTGTGGCTTAATGTTTTACACTTTTTAGTTTTTATATTACTAATCATCTAATTTTTGTTTTTACATCAGTGAAATAAGGGAAAGGGGTGGGCCTTCATCAGGAAAGAGATATATATATTTGCTTATAAATATATGAACAGACCACTATATGAGCAGACCACTTTTTTTAATTGATTGGACTATTTGGAGCACCAAAAATCATAAGGAAGCCCAAAAATCTTTTTGAAATAGTTTTTCCCAAAAAAACGTACTTCCCTTTGATAATTCATAAAAAAATAAATTCTCAAACAATTTGCATGAAACCAAAGTCCATTGGAAGCTTAAAGACTATATTTTTCTTCTATCAATTTAAATCAATTCTTACCGATTAAATCAGGTTTGAAGGAAAATATGGGAAAATTTCTGCTCACAAAACAGTTTTGACAACATGTTAACATCAATTTCGAAAATCCGTAGTAATTTCAAAATTCAATCAATTTGAGCCAAAAAAAAAAGAGCATGTAAACTCATTAATAATTGTACTATCATATCCAAAATTTAATTTAAAAGATAACAGTTTTAAGTATAGATATTTCAGTTCTAAAATCAGTATGTTTGGTTCCATTTTCCAACACAACTCTTCATTTAAATTCTAACAATTCTTCAACTAATTGAATTAAGAGAATGTAAAGCAAGTTGTAAAGTTGCCAAAATTAAACCAAGCAAAGCAAGCATTATAATAAAGGTACATTGAAATATGAATCAGAAAATAGAAGTGGTTGTGGATTAAATATTTTACCTTCAGAGTGTCATGGTGTTGTTCTACTCCTAAGTTTTTAACAAACTGTTAGTAATGGATTCTGTCAGAAAAATATTTCAAAATGTAATGCCAACAAATATAAAATACTCACATTGTATGTTAATAATGACTGTTTTCCCAAAAAAAAAAGAGAGAAAAAAAAAAGGTAGTGAATGACCAAGGCTTAGCATAATAGCCAATGAAAATTCTCCATTAATAAGATTGAACCAACTCTGTAGCAAGTACCAAAACTAAACTTAATTCCTTAAATAAATCTCATTCTTAGGTTGTGCAGCCAACAAAATATAGTATAGAAACGTTTATATATGCATTTAAGCACCTGAACTGATGCACCTTTGAAATTTTTCACGAGACTCCTAATATCCTCCAAGACTACTGCTCTAGCACCAACCCAACACTCCCATCATTGATTGCTCTTATAATAGCTTTTGTGAATTTTACTGGAGTTAAAATGATTTATCATGTGGAGTAAAGATCAATAATTGTATAAGTGACAAAAAGTAACCTAATTTTCAATGTAATGTTAGCAAAATCAGAAGACAAAAAGTAAAATGGGTTGACTGTTAAAAATACTTCTGCTATGATAGTTGCTCTAAACATGTGTCAAATCAATTATAGGCACCTCCTTTTGTAGTCGCGCGCGCGTGCGTGTGTGTGTATTGTGTAAATTCAACTCCTGCACTAGTTGTGAAAAGAAAAAGGATCCACCATTCTTTTGGCCCATTTACAAATATTATCAAGTTCACTATATTTAATTTATGCATGCAGCTTATTCAAGTAGCTTTCTTTCCAAATGTCCCTTTAATGTTTCAAGAATTTGACATTTAGGATGCCGGCTCACTATGACAAACTACAAATATAAAAAATAAAAATATAAAAAAAATTCCAAATGACTTCTCCAAAGATTCAACAACCAAGAGATCCTTCAAAAAATTGTATATGAAATGTAACTCCCAAAACTTAGGTCAATAGCTTCATACAAATTCAGATGAAAAATGTGCTCCATGACAAGAATTATAAAATAAATAAATAAATAAATAATAAAACTAAACAAATATACAACTTTTGGTGAACCATCTATGCAGTGAATATCTAGATGTGTTTCGACACACAGGTTTTTAGTCATATCAATAAAGATCATGTTTCCCTTAGGTAGAGGAAAAAAAAAAATTGAACTTCATGAATTTTATGGTAATGAAGATAGTAAAATAATCTTATAACTGGTAAGAAAGTGCAAATGCAAAATTCTAAACACATTCTTACTTGAAACAACTATTATTAGGGTAGTAAAAGAACATTTTTTTTTTATTTTTTTTTTATTTTTAAGGTAAAATCAATTTTGTAAGATAATAAGATATGCAATACAAGTTAGCCCAGGCTAACCAAATACAAGAATAGCCCATAAGACAGCCCAAAGCACAAGAGCAAAACAAACCCAGCAAGAGTTACATTTGACACAACACAAAGCAATGTGTTTGTAGTAAGAGAACATTTATAAAAAAGAACAAGCATAGTTTTTTACCTTTTGGGTATATCACATAGTTTGAAGAAATGAAGCCAATTGATGAAATGCACCTGACAAGAAAAAATACTTATCTCTAATGATAGAAGAAGAAGAAAAAATTAAAACAAATGTATTTTTTGGTTATTAAATTAATCTTAAATACCCACTTCTACTACACAATTAAGACTATAAACTTTTTCTCATATTACATACTAGAATCCTTCAGTCACATGAAATCATTTAAAAATTGGATCATATATTCCTCTGATTCTGATCATATATGCTCTAAAAATTTTGCTTGTTAATTTTGTTAAAAGACAAAGTAGTATTGCAATAGTAATCTTGAGAATACATAATAAAGAATTCTTTAAAATAGTCATCAAACTATTAGTATGCAAGGTTCCCTGAAGCCAACAAGCTAGCTATATTGGTCACTCATAATTTCTAATACTAGGCATTCAATTGCATTTGAAGTTTGAACCTTTCATCAAGTTTTAAAATGCTAACATGTGATAAGTCAAAACTCTTCAAATTATTCAAATTTGTATGCTCCCTTACTAAGACTTTGACCATCGTTTTATTATTTGCTTACAAAGATGCCAATTTGGAAGCAAAATAATTGATATTTTTCATTATAGTTCACATAACAAATCTTTTATGTCTCACCTTATATATACCAAATCTGGTTCTAAAATTTCTCCTGCACCAAATCTACCTCAATCATAAACAAATCAAGCCTAATATTCCTCTTTGGAGATCAAATTTCCATTTCAAAAAGCTATTGAAAACTCAACAAAATACACAAATTTTCATCTAAACAATTTCTCAAACACTATGCATGCACATAGACACTCACGTAAAGGACTGCAAGTAGTAGTAACCATCAATCCAACTTTAGAGACCAAATTAAAACTACACAGGCACACACAATGTCAATATATTTTCAGAGTACTGTTCAAATCATTTTGCAAAACAAGAACTACAGAACTTGATTAATTGATTTAGAAAAAATAAAACCCATACTTACAAGTTAGCAATTCCAGAGAGAGAGGGCTTTAGAGTTGAGAGACAGCGGGACAGAGGCTGAAGTTTGCGAACGGCGAACCCGAACTGAAACAGCGGGCTATGGAAACTGAAGTAGGGATGGCAAATTCCCCATCCCCGCCCGCCCCGTTTATGGCAGGGATGGGGACCTTTTATGTAAACGAGGATAGGGATGGGGGTAAATTTTGAAAACCCGCCGGGGACGGGGTGGGGATGGGGTAAACCCGCCCCACCCCGATTAAAGGTTAAATTACTAATATACCTTTATATGTAATAATTTATTACTAAATTAGATTTAGTATATATATGAAAATAAGAAAAAATATGTTTTTTTAAAAAAATAATATATGTTAATCGGGGCAGGGGCCGGGGATAAGGGGTCGGGGGCGGGTATGGGGGTGGTGGTGAAATTTTAAGCAGGATGGGAATTGAAAAATTGATGGGGATGGGGAATGAGATCCCCGCCCCGCCATCCCTAAACTGAAGGATATGGGTTTTGATTTTTTGAACAATATATACTGATATGGGTTCTGATTCTTGTAGATTTTGTAGTTTGCAGTTGCAGAGACAGAAAGAGGGTAAGTTCAGAGTTGAGAACGAGAATAGAGATGGAGGCGATTTGGGAGGCTGATATGATTCTTGTAGATTTTGTAGTTTGCAGTTACAGAGACAGAGAGAGGAAAAGTTAACGAGAACAGATATGGAGGCGATTTGGGAGTCTGAAATGATTTGCCCTAAAATTGAATGTGTGCGGTCTGTACGTGTGTGTGTTGCGTACGGCCGTGAAAGTAAATTTCCTTTTTACCACCTGCATTTTTCATTTACCGTGATAGAAAGAGTGGTAAAAAATAAATTCACTTTTTTCTACAGTTCTATTATATTAATTTTTAAAAAAATGATAGTAAACCTGTAGTAAAAAGGATCTTTTATTATGGTTATTTTAAAATCGTGATAAAAAATAGAGGATAAAAAACTGTTTTTCTGACTTCCGAGATACTGCACCCTTCCCGCGTCAAGAATTACTCGGCGGCGCGAAACTGGGTTCTCGCCATCCTAATTAACCGCCTCAATAAATCGCAATCGGAATCGAAATCCGTCATAGTGGTGGATCATTTTCAGTACGCCATGTTCTGTCTTCTGGTCTTGATGTGCTTCGGCGACAAGCTTGACGAAAAGCAAATTAAGGAAATTGAAAGAGTTCAGAGAGAGTTGTTACTGAGTTTTGTGCGATATAACAAACTCAATTTCTGGCCCACAATAGGGAAAATTGTGTTCCGGAATCGGTGGAAAGAACTGATACGGCTGCGACGAAATCAGGTTGCTGTAGTGATCCCTCTTATCAGAGCCCGATCAGTAGAAGTTGCTCTCAAAAAACAACGGAGGAAAGAAGAGTACGGTAGTGGTGTGGTGGCGTACGTCGACACTTTGTTGGATCTGGAGTTGCCGGAGGAGAAGAGGAAGCTTAACGACGATGAGATGGTGAGTCTGTGCGGGGAATTTCTCAACGCGGGCGCTGACACGACGTCGACGGCGTTGCAGTGGATCATGGCTAGCTTGGTGAAGTACCCAGATGTTCAGGCAAAGTTTTATGAAGAGGTCACCGGAGTTGTGGGACCGCCGCCACCGCCGCCATCATCGGATGAGGAGTTGGGGTTGACAGTGATAAAGGAGGATGATTTGCAGAGGATGCCATACTTGAAAGCGGTGGTGTTGGAAGGGCTGAGGCGTCACCCGCCGGCGCACTTCTTGTTGCCTCACCCGGTGACGGAGGAGGTTGAGTTAGAAGGGTTCGTGGTGCCCAAGAATGCCACCATCAATTTCATGGTGGCCGAAATGGGTTGGGACTCTAAAGTATGGGATGATCCCATGGAGTTCAAGCCAGAGAGATTCTTGAGTTCTACTACTGTCAATGGGAATGGTGGTGATAAAGAAGCGGTAGTCGGCGGAGGAGGAGGGGAAGCTGGTGGTTTTGACATAACCGGGAGCAGAGAAATCAAGATGATGCCATTTGGAGCAGGAAGGAGGATTTGTCCCGGGTCGGGTTTGGCTTTGCTTCACTTGGAGTATTTTGTTACTAATTTGATTTGGTATTTCAAATGGACGGCTGGTGATGATGGTGATGTTAATCTATCAGAGAAGCAAGAGTTCACTATTGTGATAAAGAATCCGTTGCGGGTCCATCTCTCTCAAAGGACAAAACAACATTAATAATGGAATATTTATTATTATAGATTAAAAATATGGTCTATTGGTCGTCTATTTATTTAATTTTATGTAATATCCTATCCAACTTGCCTTGTTTCTTCTGGTGTGCTGTTATGCATAGACGGTTGCAACTGGACTGGGATTTGCCGTCCTTCATCAGACCACCGCCGGAGCCGCCAGATCAAGCCACTTAGGGTTGTAAACCCTAATCTTGTTCTCACCGGAAGAGTATTCAATTTAGACACGCATAGTCTACAGTTCGTTAGACTAGAAGTGTCTTTGATTCTGTAAGGCTTTTTGGCCTTTGCACGTCTTTGGTGTATGTTTGGGCTCCTGTATCCTCTTTGTTTGTTTGTTGGTTTGGGTTGTCCACGTTTTGTGGGCTTTCCCTTATGGTTTGTGCATTTTACCTTTCAATGAATCCTACTTTCCAAAAAAAAAAAAAAAGGTCATCAATGCTGCTTATTAGTATGTCATATATATTATATACAAATCATGTGTCCGTGTAACTATGGTTTACCCAACAAACAAAAACAAAAGATGGAAATTTATAAGTCAATGTAAGCATGAATACGACCCCTTGCTTTAATTGAAATTTGTCTTTCAATCTCATGTTTTTTTCTGTATAATTTTGCATAAATATATGCACATGATCCATATCAAGTTGTTGACTCACTTATCTAGACCATAGGATAGACTTTTGAATCATAATTTAAGTATGAATAACAAAAAATTGGTTTTGGAGATCAAGTAAATCCCACCCTATGTGTATTGATCTGAACTTTGTTATGTAATAAACTCCACTTTATGTGAATTGATCTCAACTTTTCTTTTTGCTTTGTTAGAAAAAAATAAAAAAATAAAAAAAAATTGTTTTCATCAAATTGAAGACTTATTCTTTGATCTAACAATCACATTCATATGGCTCTTTTCCATGTAATAGGTTATCTTCCATACGACATAATTCCAATCAATCATATGAAGTCACATAAACAAAAAGTTAACACAATTGCATGTGATTTGCTCCCGAATCATGTAAAAATTTCTCTAATTGACTTGGCAAATGAAATAGGTGGGATTGAGTGGGTGGAGAACGTGTTCCAAAAAAGCAAGTGCAAAAAAAATGAAATTTCCAAAAGAAGGAAACAATTTTTCGGATTTGCCTCATGGTCTCATTATACAGGCAGCATGCACACTTCTACCGCTCTATTGGTCCTCGTGTATCCATGATGATGTGAAACCGAAAACCAAGAAGGAAGGAAAACTGAGAGCACTAGTTATGCTGGCAGTAGCAGCTCCATTTTGAAGGAAGTGAATTTGTTACTCAATTTTTATTTTTATTTTTTTTTTGTTCTCTAGATTAATTGTTATATTTTTATATCATTAGATAAGTATTTCAATAGTGTTGTGTTCTCCAGAGTCTTTGTATAATATTAGTTCTATGTTATCGTGCAACTCACTGTTCTTATTCATCATAACCTTGTGGTACAGAGAGACATTGGATTGGACATATCAAAGCAAGTTGTGACTCTCTGGCTTTTTCACATTGTGGGAAAAAAAATCACAGCACAACTTTCATGCTTGATGGTAAGGCTGATCATAGATGAGGCTGGTAAGAGAAACGAGAAATGTCCGCGTTATTTTGGAGTGAATATGATTTTCTGAGAGGTGGTGCTCCCAGGCATCTGGACTGAATATATATATAGGGTATTCTATATGTTTATGAGCTGGGAATCTGATTCTAAGGTATACATCGAAGAATTGTTTGAACAAGTTGCAGACTTTGTTTATGAGGTCGATGAGTTGAACATTGACAATGTTGGGCTGCTACTGCTAACCATGAAATCACAATTTGATGTTTGGTCTTGCAAGAGAGAGTCAGTCCTTCCTCTGTCATCCTCTCTTAACAACTTCCAAACATGGTGTTAAATTCATTATTATTATTTTTTTTTTTGGGGAGTTTTAAGCCACTGAAATATATATATAAATGAAAAATGGTGATAATTACAAAAAGGGCCATTAGGCCAAACCAGTCCATTGGACCGAACAAACAAGCCCAAAAAAGACCTACAAGAGATAAGCCTAGACAAAACAAAGTGTAAGAGCACAATTTCGGTGAACACAAAGCAGGCGGACACTAAGTAATCATTGATTTAATTATTTTTGGCCCCCTACTTTGCAATCGTAGCTCCGCCCCTGCCTACACTAACGGTTTTGGAGAACCGTTAATGGAGGGTGTAAGAGCACAATTTCGGTGAACACAAAGCAGGCAACATTGCCGCCGGCGAGACTTAGTCCGGAGGCCTTGATCAAACACCTAAATGTAGGTTTTATATTACAGAGAATATGACCTCATCAACTGGCAAGAACCAGATCCTCTCCTGTACTAATTTATGTGTTGTATTTGTTGTGCATATGAAATACTTTTTCTTGGAGAATGCAACATCATTACTTCAAATTACAGGTGTAAATTGACTTTAAAAAACAAGTACAGTTGTAAATTGTAATATTAGCATCTTTTATTCTTTACCGTCCAAAATTCTCTTTTACGCGCCTTCCTCTGCAATTCAGTTTCCTTTTAGGATATGTTTGGTAGGGTTGATTTTGTTGACCCTAAAATCGGCCAGTTAGAGCCGATCTTGATTTGAGAAGTTGCAGGCGTGCCAGAACCACTTATGTGGTTCGATTGTAAATAGTCAACATTAGTCCCTTTGAGAATGTTGACTTTCAGACGATGCGAGGAAAAAAGGAACAATAAAATTCCTCTTTTGAGTTCAATAAAGCTTTAGTTAAAAGGACTTTTCAGTAAGTAATTTATAGAAACGTATCAAGAAAATAGAAAGGGAAAGAAAATAGATATAGCAAGAAGAGAAAGAGAGATAGAAGGAAAGAGAGAAATAAATAGAACGAGAGGTTGAGAAATATAGATAGAAAGAGATAAGAAATAGTAAGGATGCTATTCTTGGAAAAGCTTGAGAAAGCAAACAAATAATAATAACGATTCTACGTATGATATATGGAGTATATTAAATTACGGACCTAAGTAACACATGAATGTAAAGTTAATTTTAAATGACACAAGGCAGGGCTGAATAAATGAATAAAAAAAGCATATTGATGGGATTATGAGTTAGGGGTAGGAAACCTTTGACATAGGGGGTCTGCAATCAGGATCTTGTTGTAGACACAAAGAGGCAGCTCGAGCTATTGCCTGTAGTTCATGGGACAAGTTGTGGAGTTGGCCAGAGGCTGCAGCTGGGTCCCGCTATTGGGGTTGTTGTGCACGGGGATCGTGTTTCGGGATAGTTGCATTTTATACATTGTTATTTGATGTACATTTATGTGGCTAGGTGTTTAAGCATGAGTGGGAGATCAAAGAAAGCTGGTTCAGATCCTTTAAGATGATGATTCATGTCAACAATTTTGTTTGGATTCTTATTTCTGGACGAAAAAAAGGCCCAGGCCCATAGATACAAGCAACAAAAACTCGTTTGTTATAGATCGTGTGGGCTTGGGTTTTAGGCCTAAGATTGGGCCGAGTCACTTGCATTTGTATGATTATTAATAGTGAGACGCCAGTGAGTGAATCTCACACACAGATGCATGTGCTTCGGTTCATAATTTCGGTTGAAATGAAAAAGCAAACAACCATTTTGGCCTACTCTGCCAAACATCAAACGTTGGACCCACTCTATTAATTAAGTGAAAAGGCAAACATAGTTCATTGGTTTTTCAAGCCTCATTAGTTGTAGGACGGGGATAATAAAAATTTCATTTGGGCATATGAAGGTAAAATTGAATATATTTAATCCAACCCCAAGTTTGAATGACAAGCATGAAGAAGTGTGTGTTGTGGAGAAGTGTCTTGACAATGAATTTGATAAAGCTAAGTCTGTGCTTGAAAGTGGAAGTTCCAAAAGTTCATTTTCCAAAAAGATTTCAAAGAATGTTGTTTTGAAACCAAAATTTGAATGGGCATGGAAGCCCAAAAGTTGCATTAACAAAAGACAATTAATCTCTTTTGATTCAAATCCAACAAGTTCTTTAGAGAACCATTTGTTGGGTAGGATTCAAAATGTCATTCACCCCGTCAAGGAGGGGATGCCAAATAAGATTTTTGATTCAGGCTAAAAGAGTCCAACGTCTTGCTAGAGACGTTAAAGACTAATGCATTCTGTAAGGTTTGACAACCCTATTCCTCCCTCATTTCTATTTTACATGTTCTTGCGTCGTCTAGATATGAATTGAATTGAAAAATCTGGCTTGAGAGCCATTTTCTGCATTTTGAGTACTGCCAAGGACATTTTGATCGATCAAACTTAAGTTCCTAAATTTCTGTTTATCACTAATATTGACACAAATTACAAAATGTCCCTCTAAAATTCTTTATTTATTTATTTTTACTCTTATTCTTTAACAAATATTTGTGATTCCTTCAAAACAACAAATGTACCGATTTTCTCTTCAAAATTTTTATATTATTCTTCACTGGAAGAAGTCAGAAAAATTGCCCTAGAGTAGTGGTGATCGATCGCTGAAGATCCACGATCGATCGCAGGCCATGCGATTCATCGTAGTTACCTCAACAATGGATAAGACTGTCACCTCATCATTCGTTTCAAGTGGCGATCGATCGCAGAAATTGACGATCCATCGCAGTGCCACGTCAGCGCTAGCTAAAAGGATAAGGTTGTAAGTTGTCAAGATAAGGATGCCACATCATCAGCGATCGATCGTTGAGGTTGGCGATCGATCGCAGAAGTTGGGGATCGATCGCCAGGCAGTGATTTGTTTAATTCCTGAGCTCACTCGACCTCCACCTACCAAAGGGGCTACGAGATTAGACCAATTAGAAGGCCATTTTTTGACTTGTTCACCGCACAAATGAGCTTGTTTTTAAATCAAATTGAACCATTTTGTTGAGGTTCAACAATTTGTTCTACAACTTTTAATTAGTTTTTAGAAAAAGCAATTTTTAAACATAGTTTCTTTTTCTAAAGATTAGGGTTATTGAGTAAGAAAAGAAGCAATAAAAGAGAAAGAAGATGGAGCTTAACTTGAAGATAACCCTTGAGTGTTTCATTTCTACATCCATGAGTGGTAAATCATCCTCTTGCTTGGATTGTAGTAGGATAGAACTTATTCGTGGCCCTGACCCACTTCCATTTTTCAGGTGTTCGTCAGTTTCAGGCGTAGAGATTGTTCGTGCTGAGCAGAGATAGCCACTCATTCTTTCGACGACGTAGGATCTCTCTTCATGATTTAGTTCTGGATTTCTTTTAGTTTTCCGTTTCAGTTTGGGATATTATTAGGGGTCTTTTATAATTTTCAAAAATAATATTTTATTTTCTGAATGATGAATCAAACAGATCACAGTTAAAAAAATTAATTTCAACAACTCAATTTCACAATTCCTAAATTTATAATAAGAACAACAAATACTTTCAACATATATGTGGGAAGATTTGCATATTCCATCACCTACTTCTTGTAACAGCATACAATACAAAAGTTAGAGAGATCAAATTATTATTATCATGACTTTTTAAAACATGTATCATGTATGAATTG